TCTTCTTCTTCTTCTTCTTCTTCTTCTTCTTCTTCTTCTTCTTCTTCTTCTTCTTCTTCTTCTTCTTCTTCTTCTTCTTCTTCTTCTATTTTTGGGGGGGGTTGGTTTTTTTTTTTTTAGACAGGGTTTCTCTGTGTAGGTGTAGAGTCTTCCCTGGATCTCACTCTGTAGACCAGGCTGGCCTCAAACTCGCAGAGATCCGCCTGTCTCTGCTTCCTGTGTGCTGGGATTAGGGGCGTGCCCCACCACCGCCCAGCTTTCTCAGTGTCTTCTTTGGAAGGAAGTGTCTCAGTATAAGCACACTCAGAGTGGGGCTTGGCACTCACCCCCCTAGAGAACACAGTCTCATGAACCCTGTCTGTTTTCTCCCTTACATATTAACTCACCGATCACCTTGGCTCATCTATGACTCATATTACTCATCTATGGACTCTACTTTTACACGGGTTCTATAGTCTGGCAACACTTTGTGTTGCTCATATTACCCCAGTGTTGGCTTCTGGTGTCTCCTTAACCGCGTCCGTGCCTTGCTGCTGCCCATCACTGTTGTGTTTACTTGCTGTTACAGGACTTCAAACCCCTCTGGCACAGACGCTCCAGGATCATCGGGTGCATTATTTGCTCAGGTTTAGAGATCAGTCACTTATCCGAGGAACCCTGTCATAGAAAGTGGTATTAGAAACCAAGATCTGGCGAGCTAAAGGTGCAGCTCAGTTGGTAGAGGGTTGCCTAGCATGCTCTGGGATCCATCCCCAGCACCTCATGAACCTGGCATTGGTAGGGGACACATGTGATCCCAGCATTCAAGAGGTAAAGGCAGCTGAGAGACACAGGAGCGAGCGGTTAAGGACACACAAGGAATATGAGCCCCACAAAGTGTTGCCAGACTATAGAACCCATGTAAAAGTACAAAGTCATCCTTGTCTGCATGGGAATTTTGTTGAGAATATGTGTTGTTTTGCGGTTTTTACTTTTTTGGGGGGCCTGACACCCAGCTCCCAAATAAATTACGCAGGGAGGCTTATTATTACGTATGAGTGCCCAGCCTTAGCTTGGCTTAGTTTCTAGCCAGTTTTTCTTAACTTTAAATTATCCCATCTACCTTTTGCCTCTGGGCTTTTCCCGTTCTCTTACTTCTGTAAATCTTACTCTTACTCCGTGGCTTGCTGTGTAGCTGGGTGGCTGGCCCCTGGAGTCCGCCTCCTTCTCTGGCTACTTCTTCTTTCCTCCCAGATTTCTCCTTCTATATAGTCTCTCTGTCTGCCAGCCCTGCCTATCCTTTCTCCTGCCTTGCTATTGGCCGTTGAGTTCCTTATTAGACCATCAGGTGTTTTAGACAGGCATGGTAACACAGCTTCACAGAGTTAAACAAATGCAACGTAAGAAAAGTTAACACACCTTAAAATAATATTCTACGACAAGCATGAGCTAGAAGAGACTTTGTCTCAAAAAGGAAAGAGGGAAGGGAGGGAGGGAGGGAGGGAGGAAGGAAGAGTAGGATAGAGGGAGGGAGGGAGGAAGGAAGGACAGGATGGAGGAAGGGAGAAAGGGAGGGAGGGAGGGAGGGAGGGAGGGAGGGAAACAATAACAGAGCTCTAAGCTCTGGATAGCTCATTGCACCAGCACTAGTGCTCTGGGCCCCTCGATGGACTGAAGGGAACTATGCACACGTATGTCCATGTGTACATGCATACGGGAATGCTTCAGTACACACCTAGAGTGTGTTAGTGAAGCACCAGTCCGTCCTAATGTCCCCAGCCTCAGTCTGCTGAAGGGACCACAGGGACCCTTGTGGCTTCCTTTTGCCCATGTGGTCTCTCTCACGCAACCCCTGTGAGATGCCACCAGCTGTTTACCCAGTTGTTCAAACTATGCATAGCATCATGGGAATTGCTGGCCACACCCCTGAGGGATGACTTTACTATCAGAACCCAGGGCCCTTCTTCTCCTGACCCTGCCAAAGTTAGTCATCACCCCTACGAGGTTGGCTTCTGTCCCGCCCACGTCGGCACGTTTCGTGAATGGGAAACACGGGTGACTGGCTTGTCACATTCTTCCTGGTTCTACCCTGGGTTCCTCCTTTCTGAGGATGCTGAGGATGGGCCAGGACCCCATGCATCTATGCAAGGACTTCTGTCAAGGTCATAGCAGTATCCAGCCAGGAGCAAGTTTTTCTCCAAACTGGGGGAAAAAAAACCCACTGAGTACGCTGCCCTACAACGATGCTCTCCTCTCTAGCTCTGTCCTCTATGGTTTCTTTAACCTTGGGTTCTTCTCTTGTTCACATTCACCTAGATTCTGGGCAGGGCGGTGGGGTGGTGGTCAGAGCTGGGCAGGCCTCTTTTTATCTCTGACCTCTACCCATGACTTCAGCGCCTTTGCCTCCCAGGCTTCTACCTCTATGTCCCCAACGGTAGGACACCAATCCCCCAAAGAGCTCAGGCCTCCCTGGCCTGGTTTATCCTGGTCTATCTCTGTTTTCCCACCACCACCAGGAAGAGCAGCACCACATGCCTGACATCCAGGTCCCCAGCACCATAGTTCCAAGTGCCCACCTTCAGTTATTCCAGGTAGGAGGAATTTAGGTTCAGGATCTATAGCCTCTCCTCAGCTGGGATAGAGAATCTCAGAACCGCCTTCTAAAGCCCTCTCAAAGACCAAGCCCCTAGTCATTACTAGGACTATCCCTCCAAGGTGTGTGCGATCTGTGTGGTGAGTGTTGCGTGTGACCTAGGTGCAGGCTTGGCGCTCTGAACATTCCTTGTAGAACTGAGGGAGTCTTGCTGGACTCGGGGTATGTGTTTGGAAGTACAGCTCTGATTTTTGCCTGGGAAAGGGGACTGTGATGTCATTTTCACACACAAGGACCGACACACAGCCCTGCTCTAACTGGAGTCTGATTTCCTCATGCATAATGCCCCGGCAAGGGGCTAAGGCCACAACCTGTTCCTCCCTGCAACTTTAGTCTTGTGTCGGAGGCCATTTGCCCATAGCTGTGACTCATTTAGGCTTTGGGCTTGCGCCATTGCCCAAGACTGGACAGCATCATCTTCTCTACATGCACACCGGTAGACGAGCATGGCAATAGCCAGGTGGGGAGGGCACCGAGTTCAACCACTTCCTGTCTTTTGTGCTTTCTTCTCTTGATTCTAAGAGGAGCTGAGAATCTAAGCCATCCCAAAGTACAGGAGCTCTCAGAGCCACAAGAAGAGCTGAGGTCTCTGTCAGTGCAGCCACCATGTAGCAGGGCTGTGGTCACTTACCAGTCTGAGAAGCCAGGCCTCAGAGAAGTTGACTCAATGCTGTGGTGGTTGACTCAATGCCATGGTGGTCCCAACACTTCCAGAGCTCGTCTGAATCCCTGACTCCCTTCTTTCTCATTATCCCAATACTGGGCTCATTCCCCATGTGGGGGACTCTAGCTGTGGAGCGCTAGGTGGGTGCCTACCCCCATGGTGGAAAGCATGGGCTGTGGAACGATGGAGTTAAAATATATTTCTGCCTTGCCCTGGGCCAGGGTGGCAGTGAGCTCTGTGTCTAGCAATTTACCTTATAAATATCCCGGTGTGTGAGTGAAGCCATGAATATTCAGGCGATTCGTTCTTCACTGCTGTTAACAAGGAGCATGGAAGTGCTTTGTGTGCTAGTGTGGAACAATCTCCAAGATGTTAAGTGAAAATGCACAGCAGTGCGGGCTGTCCACTGTGTGTGTGTGTGTGTGTGTGTGTGTGTGTGTGTGTGTGTGTGTGTGTGTGTAGAAGGAGAATATTTACCAGCCAGACTCTGCCTGGTAGCCTCTATACTTGGGCACCTGGACTCCTACATGGAAGCCTCTACCTGAGAGCTCTGCCTGGGAACTTCCGCTCCACATAGGCTACATGTTTCTCTGAATAGGAGCTGAATGGGAGCTCCGGATGGGCAACTACCCACACTGGTACAGGGTATAGGCAGGAGGAGACTTCTCACTGTGTGTGGGTTTGTGGTTTTTTTTTTTTTTTTTTAACCTTTGAATCATGCAAATAAACTATTCATCTACTAGAACAAAGACTTTAAAATCTGCCTGGAAAAATTCAGCCATAATGGCTCACAGCTATAATCCCAGCACTTAGAAGGCAGAGGCAGGAGGACCATCGTGAGTTCATGGTCAATCTGGACTACATAGTAAAATCACCTCAAAAATAAATAAATAAATAAATAAATAAAAGCAATCAGAATAAAACCTCTCAAACTCTGGAAGCTGCTGCCCTGGTTTCGTGTGTGTGTGTGTGTGTGTGTGTGTGTGTGTGTGTGTGTGTGTGTTCCCTTTTGTTCACTTACCCGCGGACACACAGACACATGCAAACACACCCCTATCACAATCCATCATCTCCTACACATGTACTGGAGAGTCATATCCAAAGCCTGCTCACTGGCTTCTGCTGCAGCCCTGTGGGCTGTCTCGATCCACCTGTGGGACACAAATCTTGACTACAGGGAGTGCTGCCCAGGCCGGGACATGGTCTCCACTGTCTCGGCAGTTTCCTTATACCCGATCTATGTTTCCACAGTTCACGTCCAAGGATTTTAACCTTTTTTATGTGCATCTCTGCCAGCTACTGCGTTCACACTGGCTTCTCCACAGTTCCCGGTCTTGACTACATAGTGCTCCGCTTCACTCTGTGGGTACCCAAATCTGCAGCCCAGTAGCCATCCAGGCTAAGAAACCAGTGTCCAATCACACCTCGCGCTGGGGCACCATCATCCCCCATGGCTTCTCGGCCCCCCTCATGCTGTTTCTGTGCCCTGCCCAGAAGAAGCTACAACAGGCGGACAGGTGGGCAGAGGCTCAAGCCCCCGTGAGGCTCACTAGAGGCATGTCTAGAAGGCTGTGGAGCCTCTCTGGCTCACTGCTACCTGAGGGCCCGCTGGACAATGGGAACCGTCGAATGTCCATTGTCCAAATGCAGCGATCAAGTGTCCAGAGTGTGGCTGGCTTCAGGGAAGCCAGAGTAGGAATTTTGTTTAATTAATTTCAAAGGTAAGTCAGGTGGTGCAGAGGGTGGTCCAGCCTGGGGATGCCTGGAACAGCGCCTGCCTCACTCCTGCCCTGGTCTAGTCGGCCCACCTCAGAGACCAGCAGCCAAGCTCAGCCCGGGGCTCCTACTCTTTGAAAAGACAGGGAGGGCAGGGTGAAAAGAAGCAGTACAGCCATACATTATCCCCTAGCCCAAGGTCCCGGCCACAAGAGGACAGGTGAGGGCTGCTTGTGGCAGGTGAATCAAAGAGAGTCCAGAGCCACCGGCAATGGCCGCCTCATCCCACAGCCGAGCCCAGTTCCATCCACCCCACACCCCAGCACGACAGTCACCAGAACATGGCTCCTTCCCTTGCCAGCTTGCTGAAGGAGCCCTGGTGGACTTGCCTCCCCAGCCCCTCCCTCTGTGGATCCTCTTACATCCCCAGGGGTTCTCAGGAGCCCCCAACGCTGTGACAATAGAATCAGGTCCTTCCTTCTTCCCTGGGGCAAAAGCGGGAGAACTCAGTGACTGGAGGTGGCTAGCCACACCTCCCCACCAGTCACAAGCTGGGTTCAAGGCTTGCATTCCTACCTGAGTATGCCCATGTGATAGCAGAACTGACAGATAGCCTGGCCAGGAGCCCCCCACAGCCACCTTCACCCAGGCCATCACAGTCACTGCTGTCCCCTCTGCTACGTCCCGGAAGCTCCTGCACTTCCAGCAGCAGGAGGCTGGGCATCGCTTGCTTTAGTCCTGTGCAGCATTTTCGAAAAGAATTCAATTAGTTTTAATTAGCACAAATTTAATCCATTTTAATTAGTTTTAACTCATTGTAAACTCTTAATTAGTAAAAAGTCAGGCTTTACACCCAAGAATTTCAGACTGGAGGCTCCTCTTTACAAGTCGGAAACAACGTGGTCATGGCAGATGTTGAGGGCGGCAGTCAGGGCCTGACTCCCTCACAAGGCCTATGGCCCTCGCGGGCTGCAGGCAATACGCCCGTCAGCTTACCTTCCCACCTGGGGATGCCTGTGTGAAGCTCGGGTCACATGGACTGAGTCCTAAAGGCTTCTGGGTACAAGATAGGACCCTACTACTCCCTGCTCTTTCCACAGAATCTTTGGGGTCTGAATGGCTGCTCCTCCTGGCTCCCCAAGTCCCTGGTCCTGCTTCCCAGCTCTGTGTACTCCTCCACCAGTGCCTGTGTACTTTGGGGCTCTTTATCATGACCTGTGACTCCTGAAGGGTTGTTCTTGGGTCCCTGCCCGCAAAAGAGCTGAAATTCAGTACCTCTGCCCCTCTCACCCCATCTACACCCCCTGAAATATCGGATGTTGAGGCAGTGGGAAAGGACTGTCCCTGCCTGGCTTCCTCCCCACTGCCATTCCCTCTTCCATACCCTGCCCTTCCCCACTTGTCTTGGTCCTGGGGGCTCAGAGGACAGAAACTGCAGAGACTGGACATGGTGAGAAAAACCTCTAGGTCCTGGAGTCATGGCCCTGGATCGAGGAGGGTCACCTTGCCTTCAGTGGCCACATCAGGAAAGCATGTTAGTTCAAGGCCTCTCAGGCTGTGGGGTGGTGAAAGCCTCAAGGACCCTGGGTGGGCGGGCAGGCGGGCAGGTAGGACATCTTCCTACAATGGCAGTGGAGGGCATGGGTCTGTGCTGGGTGATTTCCCTTCACTAAGCAACATCCCTTACCTCTGTGACTATGGATCCCCAGCTCTGTCTACAACAGCTGTGACCCCCACCAGCTGGGGTTGTACCTCAGGCTGGCTGGCATGTGGCGGCGGGGGTGGGGGTGGGGCTCTCCAGTAGAGAGACCAGCTAGGAGGCACTCAGCACACATGGGCAAAGCAGAGGGCAGCCTGCCCTGCCGAACATGAGCCCCGGTATGCTTATTCACATTTCCACCTTAGATCACAGCCCAGCCTAGACAGGAAGTATGTGAGCACACAGCCCAGGGCTCCTAGGGGCTCCGGTCCCTGCAGCTGCCCTGTAGTTCACTTCCTGACTCTCACAGGCTCCGGTGTCCCCAGTCAGTGGGCCTGCCTGGAGCCTGCATCCAACCTCAGCTCCTCTGCTCCAAAGAAAGGGCTGAACCAGGGACCCAGTGCCAGACTTGGACAGTCTAAGTCAACCTTGAATATCAGGAAAAACAACTAGAGAAAATCAAGTTCCTGAGGTGCAGCATGAGGAAACATTGCTTAGAAATACCGGTGAAATATCAGGGCACAGTATTTTGGAAGCAGGAAACTATGGTTCTTTGGTCCTTGTCAGGTAACAGCTGCCCTCAGGGACAGAGGGAGGCAGAGGAGTCTTGCTAGTTCCCGCAGTTTTCACTAGAAACAGAGAATCAGAATACACTGTTAGAGTTGGTTAAATCAAGACAGAACACAGAAAAACCTGAACACTGGGGCAATTCTTACTAGTTTGGCCATAGTAACAGGAGAAAAATAATTCTCAGTACAATCAGCAATAGCCAGAGGCAGATGCCAACCAAGCATCCATCATGGGTGATAAAGGGAATGAGGCCCATCCACACAATGGAATCTTACACATCCTTAAAAAGGAAAAGCATTCTGGTACATGCTACAGCGTGGGAGGACCTGGAAGACATTGTGCTAAGTGAAACAAGCCACTCACAGGAAAGATGCTGTCTTAGTGAGGGTTTCTATTGCTGTGACGAGACTGACCATGACCATGGCAACTCTTATAAAGGAAAACATTGAACTGAAGCTGGCTTACAGTTTCAGAGGTTTAGTCCATCATCATCATGGTGAGAAGCAGGGCAGCACACAGGCAGACATGGTGCTGGAGAAGAAGCTGAGAATTCTACATCCTGATCCGCAGGCAACAGGAAGTGAACTGTCTCACTGAGTGTGGCTTGAGCATATATGAGGCCTCAAAGACCTTCCGTCGGCGACACACTTCCTCCAACAAGGCCACACCTCCTAATAACGCCACTCCGTGTGGGCCAAGCATTCAAATACATGAGTCTATGGGGGCCGTACCTATTCCAACCACCACAGATGCCATCGATTTCACTCATGAGGGTCCTGCCCTCACCGGACCACTGACACAGAAAGCTGTGTCTTTCTGACACAGAAAGGGAGGAGGAGGCTGCATGGGCTGGAAAAGGGGAGGCGTCAGTGTTTCATGGGGGCAGAGCTTTAGCTTGGGGTGATAGGACATTCTAGAAATGGCGGTTACGATTGTACAGTAATGCGAAGGACTTCTGCTTGGCTGGTCACCTGAAAATGGTTCAAATGGCAACTTTCATGTTACATGTGTGTTTACCATTCATTAAAAAGAATAAACTCATAACAACAGCGAGGCCCAGGTCAGGGTGGGAGGGGGGCCTGCTGTGAGAACAAGGACCACTCTGCTCTTAGTCCCCGGGGACTTGATCCCTAGGAACCCTCTCAGGTTAGCAGGGGGATGCAGTCTCAGATGTGTTCACTGCACCCGTTCACTGCACCCTCTTGCAGCCTGGTGATAAGTGCATCACCATTTGGTTGCATCCTGGGGTTGAAAGCTAGAGGTAGATCTCTTGGGACTATCCTAGCCTAAACTTGGGAAGGCATTACAGTCCTGGATGTGTAACAATTGGTCTCCCTAGAACAGTGGTCCTCAACCTTCCTAACGCTGTGACCCTTTAACACAGTTCCTCATGTCCCAGGGACCCCCCCCCCCGCCCCGACCATAAAATTATTTTCATTGCTACTTCAGAACTGTAATTTTGCTACTGTTATGAATCATAATGTAAGTATTTTTGGAGATAGAAGTTTGGTGAGGGGTCATGACCCACAGGTTGAGGACCAATGCCTTAGAACAAATAAAAGAAAATGATCCCTATGAACCGCCGGTTCCTTCCTGGTGACACACTGGCTTCCCAGACCCTCCTGGGGAAGAAGCACCGTCTAGGGAAGGCCCCACAGCCTGCCAGAAACCAGCTCCGGCAGGGCCACGCCAAAGGACAAACTTCCTTGAGCCCTGGTACCTGGTCAAGGGCCAACAAAGGCCTCCCCTTGTTCTCAGAGCCATCTTTGGATAGAGCCAAGCAAGCTTTAGGGGTTCTGTGTTAGGGTGTTGTGCATTCACACATTTGAATTTGAGGAATTTGGACCTTTGGGTTTGCTGGGAGGTAAGGGCTCTCTGTGTCCCCGGCAAGTGTAGAAGAGACTCAGCACTCTTTGTTTCCCGAAATGTCTTCCTGCTGGCACCAATGAGGGTGGGCAGCTGGTTCCTTCTGTCTGGGGACCCCCAGAGAAAACCACTGAGTCAAGGCCACGATTTTGGAGGCCAAAGGGCTCTACCTCCCTGTCTTGAGCAAAGTCCCTCCTGTATGCCACTGTGGATGGTGATTGGTGATCTGTCCCTCATCCTGGGAGTCTCTGGACATTTGGTTGCATCCTGGGGTTGGAAGCCAGAGGTAGGTCCCTTGGGACTATCCTAGCCTGAACTTGGGGAGGCATTACCCTCCTGCTCCATTGGGCCTAACCTGACCCGGTAAGACCCTGACATGCCCTGAAGCCACCGTGTGACCACACTGCCCCCTAGTGGCATAACCATACACCTGCCTGCACTGACAACCATCTCTAACCAGTTCTGCTGGGTTTTGTTAGCTCAACAACTCCGCGAATAGAACGCTTCCCGCCACGGTGGAGCGGAGCAACACAAACAGTGAGATTTGAGGGTTCCTTGTACGACAACTCCTGCTCAGTGACGCCCAGCGTGCTACCCCTTTCTCCACTCTGGATCTGCTGAGGGGACAATCCCTGCCCTTCATAGACAGCATCCTAGAAATCCAGAGAGACCCCGTGGTGACAGCAGACCCTCAGGTGAGAGGACCAGAGTCCACACTGCACTGGAACTCAAAGGGAGGGGGAGGAAGAGCATGCACGCAGGGCCTAGTACAGCTGGGAGCCATGGACAAGCTCCCTCCTCCCCATCCTCGGCTCCCCGGGGTGCAGGAAGAACACACTTGGTGGTTGATTGTCATCTCCTGAGCTCTCACCGTCTGTGCCCAGGCGCGGCAGCAACATGGCTGCTGGGAAGTGGGTCAAGGAGTCTGGCACTCAACTGGACGCCAGTGGCATGAGACTAGAGGATGTCACCAACCTGTGCCTGATTACAACATGCCCCCCATCAGATGTGGGCCACTGCAGATCTCCATTTCTCTCTTGAGTACCTGCTGCTTTCCTGGTGAACAGGCCCATGGTGTGATTCTTCTGGCTGATTCCTTATTTTAAGGTCATTACAGAGTCACAGGCAGTCGTATGAGAGGACACAAAAAAGCCCCTCAGCATCCAGGTGAAGGGTACCCTGTGACCCCATAGGGAGTACTGCTGAGTTTTATGGCAAGGTCACATAACTGGAATCCTAGACCAGTTCCCGATGCTGGAGGGTTTCATCACATCAGTTCCAGCCACTCACGAAAAAACACAAAACAAAAACACCATAGGAAAAGTGAGAAAGCAGGAGAGGATTTTTAACCGTGTTGGGAAGGTGGAGAAACCCCGCCCCAGTCTTAGCCTGTGTGGTTGGGGGAGGGGAGAGAGGTGCTTGGGACCCGGCAGCCTTGGTGCTGTGTGGTTGGCTTGATCACCGGCTCAGTCTTCTGAGAACTGCCCGAGGCTTCAGCAGATGCCTGTGAGGTGACTGTTCAGCTTGGAGGATGATATCACTGCAGGTGACGTGACTATGTGGCTCCGCTGTTCCTGGAACCTAAGGTGCCTGCAGGTCTGGGACAATGTCTGGAGAACACACCCTGGTTGTGTTCTGAGGACTGTTCCTGGTTCCTGTGCTCTTTGTGGTGCTTGGTAGGACACATTCCTTGGGTGGTTAGCATGCCCATGTGTAGTAGGCCGAAGTCTGGTCCAAAAGGAAGAAGACAAACACGAAACAAAGCGCTTTGAGGCCTCTTCTTGCTGTTAGTTCTCTTGTGGCTGAGGCAAGGGTCAGGACTTTCCCCCAAAAAAGGCAGCTTCATCATAAATCAGAAGCCACCAGTCTTGAGATTTACAAAAAAAGCACAGCACTTGAGGAAAAGACCCGACTTTTTCTTCGGGACAATGCTGCCAGGCTATCTTCTGTCCCCAGCCCCAGCTGGCTACAGAAAGTGGCACACAGCTGAGGGACCACCCAGAGTAGCTAATTAGAATCCTCAAAGCCTAGTAGTGCTCCTGCCCCAGGCTGGGCCCCGGGGTCCTACCATCACTGAGGACCAAAACTATTCTGTCCTGCCTCTCTCTCTGCTGTGAGCTGTCCTGTGGGTGCTGGGAACAGAATCCAGATTCTGTAAGAACAGCGAATTCTCTTAACCTCTGAACCATTTCTCCAGCTCCCTTAAAAAAAAAGTCGTTGAACCACAGATCCACAGATCTTAGCTCTGTAACACCGAACATTAACTAAACAACAACGTGGAAACAGAAGGACTAGCAAGAGAGCTCTAGAGGGTAAAGGAGCCTGCGGCTCAAGCCTGGAGACTTGAGTTCAATTCCTGGGATCCATGTGGTGGAAGGAGAGAACCTACTTCCACAAGTTGTTCTCTGATCACTACGTGTGCTCCATGGTGAACATACACACACACATACACACACACACACTCACACACACACACACACACTATATATATATATATATATATATATATA